AGGTGGGAGAAGGGATGAGATTTCCCATTTACTGAGCACCTAGTGTGTGCCACACACAGACTGGGCAGGGGCTGGCACATGTGTGTTTACCAGATTTGAGAATTCTCCAGTTCCCAGTTGGAAAGCCCTAGAATTCCTGGGCTCCTGGCTCCTTTAACCTGATTTCCGGTCCTCCACTCCCTCACTCCTATGTGATCAGAGAACTGCTCCAGATAACTTTCCAAGTATCTAAAGATGAACTTCAGGTACCATAAAGTTCAAAGTTGCTATTGTTGGGGGTTGAAATCCTTTTCAAACCCATCCCAGCCTTTCTGTCCCCTCACCCAGGGGAGTGGGGCCACCTGTATGCAGGCCCCTCCTTGGGGCCAGCAGGGAGTCAGGGCCTTCTGCCTGGGTACCCAGGGCCAGAGAGGTGGAGCCATTGGGACCCCTGTCTCCAGGCTTCTGGCCTGCCCGGCTGTGGGTCGCTGTCACTCTGCTGCTCGGAGCAGCACTCCTCCCTGTGCACCACAGCCAGAGTCCAGTAAACCCTGGGCTGATTAGCACGTGGCACTAGGGAGTCATGGGGCTCAGAGGCTGCCTCTCAGAAGCCTCTCTCTGGGAGACTTCAGTAGGCCAGACAGGGCGGGAGACACCTGTCCGCCTGCATACCCGCCTGGGCGTCATGGGCACATGGACACAGGTCCCAGAGCTGGTAGCACGAGTGGCTGAGTCACTGGGAACGAGGCCCGCTGACGGCACAGGAGCAGCTTTGTCTCAGGTTTGGGGACTATTGGTCCACCTGTCCAGAGCCTCTGTTCTCATGCGGAGAACTGGCTCCGTTTCTGGCTGTGTGACCCTGAGGACCAGATACATCTCAGAGCCATGGGTCAGCAACCCCAAGGTCAGGGTCAGAACACCTGGCAGGCTGCAAGCCCAGTTCAGAGCCAATAGCAAAGGGTTTCAAGAACAAAGCATCACAGTGAGGTCCTGGGGCTTGGGCAGTGATGCTCCGTTTGCTGAGTCCCAGCTAGAACTGACCTTCAGGGTCCACTCCTGCCTCCCTGCCTTTTTAGCGCCTCATATGCAAGTCCTTATGAATGGAAAGTTACAAGGAGGCTGTGAGAGGAGCTGAGGGACCCAAGAAGGCTCTGACTCTGAGTGATGGGGTCTGATGCAGCTCTCGGAGGATGGGCCGTTTTATCTGGGCCTTGAGGCATGAGTAGGAGTTCAAGAAAAATTCCTTCCAGGTGGAGGAAATACCATGTGCAAATGCCCGGAGGGGTATTTAGAAGTCATTTGGGGCTGGGAGCTGTGGCTCATGCCTGTAATCCCAGCACTTTGGGAGGCCGAGGTGTGCAGTTCACCTGAGGTCAGGAGTTTGAGACCAGCCTGGCCAACATGATGAAACCCCATCTCTACTAAAAATACAAAGATTAGCTGAGCATGGTGGTAGGCGCCTGTAATCCCAGCTAGTCGGGAGGCTGAGGCAATGTAATCGCTTGAGCCAGGAGGCGGAGGTTGCGGTGAGCCAAGATCAAGCCATTACACTCCAGCGTGGGGAACAAAAGGGAAACTCTGTCTCAAAAAAAAAGACCCCTTGACTGGGATGGAGTAGGGGGAATCCCATTTTGCCCCACTCCTCACCCAGATCAGAGAGTGGGAATCTTGAACACATCTTTATCTTAAATCTTTCATCTTAAAACATCAATAAGGCAGCAAGCTGCCCCAAGGGTGACAGAGGGAGAGACTAAACCGCAGGCAGGGATAGGACACGGAGCAGCAGATCTGGGCAGCTGGGGTGACAGACAGCACCTCTTGTTCAGGAGAACCATAGGCCTGAAGGAACTCAGGCTGTGGGCGAACCCCAGCTTGCAAATGTATTAAAACCAAATTGTTTAACCAGATTTTAATTTGCAGCCCAGGAGGGGTGTGTGCATGTGTGTGTGTGTGCACGCGCGTGTGTGCATGTATGTGTGTGTGTGCACACGCATGCACCATCAAGTGCTTTGGACTGGTGGTTGGATCTCATTTAGCCCAAATGTGAACAAAACGACCCCTAGCCTGTGGCTCAGGAGGCTGAGGGGCACTACCTCCCAGTGGCTGTCCTGTGCCCCTACCCTGACTCACCCCGTTCACAGGGTCCCAGGCTTTCCCAGCTCTCAGCCCTGCCAGACACTGAACAGTTGCCCTCCCTTGGGGTCCTGAACTGTGTTCTTTCTGGTCGGGAGCTGGGGCTGTTCTGTGTTCTCCCCACAGCCCCCAGCCCAGCCAGGTGGGCCCAGGGCGGCCCTGTTGGCAGCACCCGCACAGCCCCGGGTCCCAGGCCTCTCAGCTCCCTTGCAAGGAGTGCACCAGTGCCCACATTTGCAGGCCAGGACATGGAGGCCCGGAGAGATGGGCTGGGGTATAAGTCCAGGAAGGCTGGCTATAGAGCTGGGAAGGGTGGCTAAGGTCTGGCCAGGCAGAGAGGACGGGGCAGGGAGGGAGGAGGGCCTCCTGTGGGGGTCACAGCGCCGGTAGCAACACGGCAGAGAGAAACGGAGTTGGAATGTTGAGCTCTGGGACAATAGTAATATCATAATTGGAATAATTGTTATTGCTATTGTCATGTGATAATAACCAATCGGGAGCACATTAGGCAACATTTTACATGTGTGAAGTCAGATGTGGCCCCAGCTCTGACCTTTCTCACTGTGTGGCTCTGGGCAGGTCATGGCTGCACTCAGGGCCTCAGTTTCCCCACTGAGGCATGAGTAGGAGTTCAAGAGAAATTCCTGACCGGGTGCAGTGGCTCACGCCTATAATCCCAGCACTCTAGGAAGCCAAGGCAAGCGGATCATCTGAGGTCAGGAGTTCAAGACCAGCCTGGCCAACCTGGTGAAACCCCATCTCTACTAAAAATACAAAAATTAGCCGGGCATGGTGGAGCATGCATGTTGTCCCAGCTACTCAGGAGGCTGAGGCAGGAGAATCACTTGAACCTGGGAGTCTTGGAGGTCTCAGTGAGCCACGATCGTGCCACCGTACTCCAGCCTGGGTGACAGAGTGAGACTCCATCTCAAATTAAAAAAAAAAGGAACAATTCCTTCTAGCTGGAGGACATACTGTGTGCAAAAGCCTGGAGGTGGGTTTAGAAGTGGTCTGGACCCCTTGACTGGGACGGAGTAGGGGATCCCATTTTGCCTTACCCGTCATCTAGACCAGAGGTTGGGAACCTTGAAACACATCTTTATCTTAAAGTTTTGTTTTTTTTTTAAGACGGAGTCTTGCTCTGTGGCCCAGGCTGGAGAGTGCAGTGGCACCATCTTGGCTCACTGCAACCTCTGCCTCCTGGGTTCACACGATTCTCCTGCCTCAATCTCCCTAGTAGCTGGGATTATAGGCACCTGCCACTATGCCAAGCCAAGTTTTTGCATCTTTAGTAGAGATGGGGTTTCACCATGTTGGCCAGGCTGGTCTTGAACTCCTGACCCTGTGATTTGCCCAGCTTCCCAAAATGCTGGGATTAAAGGCATGAGCCACCTCGCTAGGCTTCTTTATCTTAAATCTTTAATCTTTTTTTTTTTTGAGACAGAGTTTCACTCTTGTTGCCCAGGCTGGAGTGCAATGGCGCTATCTCTGCTCACTGCAACCTCCGCCCCCTGGGTTCAAGCGATTCTCCTGCCTCAGCCTCCTGAGTAGCTGGGTTACAGGCACCTGCCACCATGCCCGGCTAATTTTGTATTTTTAGTAGAAATGGGGTTTCTCCAAGTTGGTCAGGCTGGTCTTGAACTCCTGACCTCAGGTGATCTGCTCGCATCGGCCTCCCAGAGTGCTGGGATTACAGGCGTGAGCCACCGTGCCTGGCCTCTTTTTTTTTTTTTTTTTTTTTTTTGAGATGGAGTCTCACTGTGTCACCTGCACATCCAGCTAATTTTTGTATTTTTAGTAGAGATGGGGTTTCATCATGTTGGCCAGGATGGTTTCAAACTCCCAACCTGAGGTGATCCACCCACCTCGGCCTCTCAAAGTGCTGGGATTACAGGCGTGAGCCACTGTGCCCGGTCTCTTTATCTTTAATCTTAAAACATCAACAAGGCAGCAAGCTGCCCCAGGGATGACTGGTGGAGAAACTAAACCACAGGGCCCAATTTGCTCCTCCTGGGCAGTGAGGCAGGTCAGCCCCCCCACAGCGCAGTGGGCAGTGCCATAGTCATGTCTGCCAAGATCTTGACCCACAGCCGCACTGCGTCCGGTCGCAGCCCCACAGGGCCCGTCCTGGGTGGGACATGCCGAGTGTGAGAGGCTCCAGTTAGGTCCTTCTGCCTGGTCCCAGCCAGGACAGGCTCTGCCCTGGACAGTCTGGAAGAGCAGGCTCTCTCCTCCCCTGGGCTAGAAGATACTTGGGGTGATTTGGCGGCAGTGGGCTGGAAGGCTGGGCACAGACTGGGAATGAGAGAGAAAGGGGCCTGTTTGCTTCATTGGAGAGGATATAAAGGAAATGAAGCTGGGCAGGTAAGTGAGCCAGATCTTGAGTCTGAGGTGTTAGAGTTTACCCTGAGGCCGAGGGAGAAGCCATAGAAGGTTCTTGGGAGGGGGAGGACATGAGACATCCAACATGTCATGCCTCTCTCAAAGGAGGAGGCTGTGGTCTGAGTCAGGATGAGTCTAGGACCTGCTCCCCAAGGGACCGTGGGACTGGGAGGAGCAGGGAAGCAGGGAGAATGTCCAAGTGGAGGGGAACGGCGAAGAGATGCGAAGGAGATGCTCTCTGATCCCCACACACTCAGGGCCTCTCATTCCACGTTGCCAGTATGCCGGCGTCACTGTGCACCCGTCCAGCACGGAGATGGTGTCATCGTGAGGAAACGGAGGGTCAGAGAAGTTGAGAGACTTGCATGAGGTCACATAGTGAGAAGGTGGCCTAGTTCAGAGCCACACCCTTAACTCCCGTGTTCCACTGTCAGATGGGGCACCCCAGACCTCATGTGGAGCTGGCTCAGTGGGGCCTGTCTCACCTGCCCCTTATCTGACTCCAGGTCCCGCCCTGAGGCAGGCTGGTCCCAGATGGCAGTGAGATGGGGGAGCCCCTGGGCCAGCGGGCTGGGCCGGCCACTGTCTGACGCGGCCTCGGGGCCTTTCCCTAGCTATGGAGACCAGGTGCAGCATTTCAAGGTGCTGCGAGAGGCCTCGGGGAAGTACTTCCTATGGGAGGAGAAGTTCAACTCCCTCAACGAGCTGGTCGACTTCTACCGCACCACCACCATCGCCAAGAAGCGGCAGATCTTCCTGCGAGACGAGGAGCCCCTGCTTAAGGTAGGGGCGGGTGGGGGCTGGCCCCTGGGAGCCTCTCTGCATCTCCTGCCTTCTGGAGCAGGGGAGATGCTGATGCCGAGGCCACGCACAGGCCTGGCCTCCCTTTTCCAGCAGTCTGGTATTGCAAGAGAGGTCCGGCTCAGGCTTCAAAGTTATATCCTGGTGGTGGCTGGGGTGAGACTGGCAAGGGTGGGAAAGGCGAAGAGGGAAAGAAAAGCGGAGGACAGAAGGAGAATCCCCTGGGGACAAACCGTCTAGCTTGTTCTCAGCTCCCAGAATAGTGTGTGGCACACAGTAGGTGCTCAATAACTGTTCACTGAGTGAAGGAAGGCACAGACCCCTGCTGAGCCTACTGGGTACCACGAACTGAGTGGGTCTCTGTAGTCTGGGAGCCTCATTGTGCCCATTGTACAGATGAGGAAACTGAGGCTCAGAGAGTGCATAACTCATCCAAGGACACTTACCTGGTAGGCTTAGTCCTGGTTTCTGCTTCCAGAAGAGTTGACCTTGGGTGCGGGGCAGCTGAGTGCTCGTGGGCGGCTGGCTACGGGGTGAGGAGTGGGGGTTGTCAACCCCTCGACCTCACACTAACAGCAATTTGCCAGACAGCCCTTTCATCAAAGGGCCCCAAGCGCCAGCTCTTAAGCTGATTAGGATGCCAACAATAGCCACTGGGGTTAATAGCCCAACAGGCTGTTTTCTCAGGAGCAGGGATGTTGGCAAGGCCTGGGCTGGAGGTCATGACCCTGGGATATTTGAACTTGCGCTCTGCAGAGGATATGGGGAGTGTGACCAAGGCCTGGTGGGAGGCTGATCATCACCGCAGAGAAGCTCCAGCCATGTCTTGTTCCCAGCACCTCCTGCCACCTTTCCATGTGATCAGAGGCCAGCTCATCCCCTCAGTTTCCCCTCTGTTTAACAGGATGAGCCCTGGGGTCTGATATGCCAGGAAAGTCAGACAGTGCCTTGCAAGACCCTCACTAGCCCCTCCTCTGTTGGTCTTCCCTGCCCGACCCTGAGTGCCCAGGTTGCTGTGAGCTGCCAGTCTCAGGCGCCTCTTCTGCCCAGCTGGCTCCTGTCTGCCAGATCTCCATCCTCTTCCCTGTTAACCGCCTGGGCCAGCTCTGCTCAGAAAATGTGAGGGAGCCGGGATGGAGCTGGGGTGGGGGTGACTGAGCACTCCCCTACACCACCACCTGGCTCTGGCCCAGGCCCTGGGGTCCCCCACCCTGTGGCGCGACTCCAGAGCTGTCTCAGTCCCCTGGGACCCATGACGCCTCCTCCTTCCTGGGCAGAGAGCTGCTAATTACAGCCTCTCTGCTGATCCTATCACTCGTCCTGGATGAGATTCTGCAGGTTCAGAGCTGAGATCCTGGTGGGCAGGCAGTGTCAGGGTGCTTGGTGCAATGGTCACGGCGCCGGGCAGACGTGCTGCAGAGCGCTCCTGTCCAGCTATGCACAGGTGGGGAAACTGAGTTTCACAAAGGGCAGGGACCTACCCAACGCCACACATGGGGCATAGATGGGACCGGAACCCCAGCCTGAGAGCTCAGAGTGACAGTTCTCTCCCTCAATGGCTGACCAAGGGCAAGAGCCCTAAACACGGCTCTTAGCTGCACACCACTTTACAGTTTATGAGGCCCATTCTCATGGCTTTGCGGCCTGGTGTCAAAAGCTATCATGGCTGCTGCAGAGTCAGGGAAATAAGACCCCAAGAGAAGCAGGGACCCAACCAAAACCCACCCTAAGGACCAGGACTCAGGTCCCCTGACCCACCAGCCCTATGGTGCCAGTTGGGCAGCTGGGAAAGCTGTGTTCTATGTAGATGCAGCATCTGCACAGCAGACAGGCAGGGGTGTGGGCAGCAGGAGGCCCAGGGGTGGCACTGCCACTGATCTGGATTTAAAGTTCAATTGCAGTGCTGCCCTGAGACCCCTCCCTGCCTGTGGCAAATCACTTCTCTCGGGCGCCTCCAAGGGAGAGCAGGTTGCAGGGCTTCCGAAGGCACCCTACTAACCACTTCCTCCTCTTGCAGTCACCTGGGGCCTGCTTTGCCCAGGCCCAGTTTGACTTCTTGGCCCAGGATCCCTCACAGCTCAGCTTCCGCCGTGGTGACATCATCGAGGTCCTGGAGCGACCAGACCCCCACTGGTGGCAGGGCCGGTCCTGTGGACGAGTTGGCTATTTCCCACGGAGTTACGTGCAGCCCGTGCACCTGTGAGCAGCCGGGCAGCTAATCTGGCCAATGGGCCATTTTCTAGGAACTGAGGTCCAGAGAGGACATGGACACCCCCAGCCTGGTCAAACAGTCACAAGGGGCTCAGCGGACGGCCTTGGACTGAACGTGGGCTCCTAACTGCCTCCTGCCACTTCACACAAACTGGGATGGCCCAGGTCCCCCAGCAAGGGTACCTAGCAAGGGTGGCTCTGGGGCTTCCCGGCTGGTTGCTTCCCATTGGCTGCCAGCTGTCTGACACCACAGGGCGGAGTCTGTGAAGGCCCCACCCACCTCTTCCTTTCAATGGCCTCAGGAAGGCTGAGGACTCCCAGGTTTCACCCACTGGAGGCTCAACCTGAGGAACCCTGGGCGTGGTGGGTGGGTTCACCTTGGGCTGACCACCCCCTGGGCCTGCCTGCCCCTCCCTCGAAAGGCCCTTCAAGTTGTAAGGGCTGTTGGGAGATGGCTTAGCCTCGAAGGACAGACTGCTATTGACCTAAACTCACTGGACTGACTCCAGGTGGACACCAACTCCTCAACAGCCTCATGATTTCAGCACCGCCCGGGGTACTGAGCACCCCGCCCCGCCACAGGGGGAGAGGCCCTGAGAGCCCGAGCAAGGGGCGGGCAGTGGGGAAGGTGGAGGCACACCCTTCTCCTATTGGACAGATGAACCCCAAGGCCAAGGCTTGGGCGCAGCCACACGGAGACCCTGGCTGCCCTCCCTCTTGTTTTTCTGGGCCCAGGTTCTGCCGGGACAAGCTCTCAGGAAGCTGAGAAACCTACAGGCCAGACAGAAAGTTGGGGCCAGAGTTGGATTTTAGAAATTCTACAGGATCCTGAATGGGGGAGCTGCCCAGGTGGGGCATGGCCCCTACCTGAGAATGGGAGGGTCCTCCAGAGAATGTGCCATCATCAGGGATATGAGCAGGGCCTGCCCAGAGCCTGGGCAGCTTTGGGAGTGGGAAAGTCAGGTGGGACCAGGCTGATGGTGGAGGGGACGGTGGGAAGGGAGGGAGGGTGAGGAGGCTCGATCTGGCATTTGGGAGCAGGTGAGTGGAGGGAGGAGTCCCTGGAGGAGGCTGCAGTCCCTTGGTGGAGGGCCTTGCTCTGGCCATGTGGGGCTCTCCCTCCATCCAGAGCTGGCCCAAGACCCTTAGAGCCCTGAGTGTTGGCAAATCTCACTGCTCCTGACCCGGCCTGTGTATTCAAAATGAAAGCAGTAAAAGCAACATCAGCGTGTCCATCAGAAATCTAATTTTCTTTCCAATGATGACTGCTTTGATGCTGTTTTTGAAATGTTGCTTTCTTTTTTCCCATTTCCCCCCTGATTTTTCAGGGCTCCTGCTCTGCTGGCTTGGCCAGTTCTTGGGGACTGAGCCATTGTGCAGCTGTGAGGAGAATCTGCTCCTCTCGGGGTCTCGGGGTCCCCATGAGGGAAAAGCGTGGACCTGAGGATTCGGGGCTCCCGCCTTCCTGCCTAGGGTGGTAGCATCAGGCGAAGTAGGCGTAGAAGAAGATGTTGACGCACATGAGGAGGATGGCATTGAAGCCACAGACACGGGCCCAGAATGCATATTTCTGGGGCATTTGGCCATCACCTGGAGAGGGTTGCAGAAGGAGAGGGACAGGTGAGGGACACAAGGCCACACCTGGTGCCCCTGCCTTCAGCCCCAGTGTCAAAGTGAAGGAGCGCCTAGGGTCACCCACTTACCTGCTTTGGTTACCAATGGCAGGTCCCGAGCCAGGGTCCACCAGGTAAGGTTTTCAATCTGTAAGAAATGAGTGGGGAGAGGGATGGAGGTGGGGGATGGCAGGGTGGGAGTGACCCACACAGGATCAAAGGTTGGGGATGGCAAGATGGCAGCCGAGTTCAAAAAGAGATGGAGTGAGGGAGTCCAGGGCTAGAAAATTCGGAGTCAGAGAGGGTCAGGGACCAGAATGGGACTAGAGTAAGAAATTGTTGGGGTCAGAGTCAGGGGTCAGGGCTGGCTCACCTGACCACCCTGTGGGGGCGGGGTCAGCAGGCTTCCGACCACCACCACAGCACCACTGAGAGTGAAGAGGGCGACCGCAAAGTGCAGGTAGTGCATGCTCCCCAGGATGGCCGGCCGCGTGTCTGGCTCTCCGCAGGGTGGGGCCGGGTTCAGGAATTCCAGGACCAGCCTCGTGGCCCCCACCACCAGCCCTGCTATCAGGCCCCAGAAGGCCCCCTGGAGAGGAGGGAGGCAGGGCATGTGGGGCTACCGGAGGAGGACCAAGGCTCCCTCCAGAGGCAGCAGAGGAGGACTGGAACAGACTGTAGCACGTCCCCAGGGAGAACAGTCTCCCGACACCCACCTGCTCGTTGGCACGTCGCCAAAAGATGCCCAGGACAAAGACCGCAGTCAGTGGGGGGGCCAGGGAGCTGGTCACTGACTGCATGTAGATGAAGAGCTGCCCGCTGTTGGAGCCTTGCAGGACGGGGATCCAGGCCACACTCACGCCGATCAGCGCCACTATGACCAGCCTGCGGGTGGGTGGAAGGCAGGCGGAGGTCGGAGGTCGGCCTGGGTGGCCCTTCCTTAGCCCTCTCCCACCTCCCTTGGTCACTAAGACTTGCGTTCTCATCTTTCCCCTGCTGCCCCAGCTGCAGCCTCCTCCCTGGTCTCTGGGCCATGCCACCAGTGACCTGGCCAGTCCTGCCCTGCTCCAAACTCTTTGGCAGCTCCCTGCCTCCTGCAGGTGCAGCTCCTGACCCTCAGTGCTGTCTGCTCCTTCCCTGCCCTGGGGTCTCTGTGGAGCCAATCCTTAGAGCTCCGTGCTGGCCACCCAGCCTCTCCGTCTTGTCTCTCCTTCAAAGCACTTGCCCCAACCACTACAGGCTGATTTACCTGGTATCTACTTGTTTACTGCCTGCCTTTCTTTCCCCTCCCCTCCCCTCTTCTCCCCTCCCCTCTCCTCCCCTCCCCTGCACATTAGCTCCTGCCCGCTTCTCCCAAAGGCCAAGAGCCCCCTCCACAGCAGGCACATGCTTCACTTGTTCATCCAACTGGTGAAGTGGCCACTTGCGTAGGACACTACCCGAGGATCTCCAACCTGGTGGAGTGGGACCTGGTGCAGCATTCAGAGCCCAGCAAAGAAAACAGATGAGCCTGTCACCTACACTCAGGGCTGGACTGGAGCAGCCCAGAGGAAACATCAATCTAGGAGGGCTTCCAGGGGGAGGGACCACCCCAGAGCCTTGGGGGGCGTGGGACCCAGCTAAGGGGACAAAGCTGGGGCAAGGCATCCATCTGCTCCTCACCTCTGTGTCCTGGGTCACAGTTGGTATTCCTTACCCCCAAGGTGGGTGGTTTGTGACTCGCTGGAACCCTGGCCGTGGTGGCAGGGGTGACAGAGCCTATGTGTACAGCTAGGGTGGGTCCTTCCCCCCTTCTGTCTGCCTTCCTCCCTCCCTTTCTTCCCTTCTAGGCCTGAGGGAGAGGGTGGAGGAAGGAGGTGCCACCTTGATTAAGGCTAATTAAACCCTAGCCAGGCAGGCAGGCAGGCGCTGCCCTCATCAAAGGCCCAGGCGGACCTCCATTAACGCCTGCCCACCCCGCCCTCTGCACACAGCTCCCCCACCCAACACCAGACGCTGCATCTCTGTGCCAAGGCCGGGGCCACTCTAGCCAGGACCTCACCTTCTTACCCTGCTTTCTTACCTGGCTGCCAGAGGACCCCCAAACCCAGAGGGTGCTCCTTCTGCCTGGAATGTCACCCCCTCCCACGACACCATCAGGGTGGACAGTGCCCTCCAGCATCTCCCTGGGCTGCGGCCACCCTTACTGTGGAACCCCTCAAGGAGGGGTGTCTGAGATCTCTCTGAGTCCCACACAGGGTTTCCAGGAGGCTGTGGGCCCCATTTGTGCAATGAACAACTGAGAACACAGGTGGGAGAGTGGAGAGGGCAGTGACGGAACAGTGGGCCCAGAGGCAGGGTCATCGCTGGCCCCCAGCCTGTGATGGCTCCCCAGGCTCCTCTCAGCTGGACAGCACCATCGTGGTCACTGGTATGGTCCTGCACCCGGCCCTCGATGGCCTCCTCTCCAGGCCTCTCGGCTGTTGGTCTTCTCTCCGTAAGCCCTGCATCTCCCTGACCGAGGCCCTTGTGGGGCCATTTCACCCTGCCCGAGATCCTCGACCCACAGGGCCTAGGAGATGCCGCTCTGATGGTGGTATTCAGGGCCGGGGGAGCTGAGACGGCTTTGAGAGGCTGGGGGTGTTGAGGGTATTCCAGTGCTGCCAGAGGGAGGGGAAGTCGAGCTGGCCAGCCTGACACCTGGCACGAGGCCCTTTCTGCTCTACCCAGCTGGCAGCTGAGAGAACTGGGGTCCAGAGAGGGTGAGCAACCTGCCTTGTAGCATACAGCCTTGTGCCCTGCTCCTCAGGGATGCTGAACGCCAAGCTCACAGGGCTGGGGGGTGGGGGGTTGACTTGGCAGAAGAGGTGGGAAGGAGGGTCAAGGGCACAAGCATCTGGGTGGGTGGGTGGGTGGGTGAGCTGGCACAGCAGGAGGCCAGGTCAGGACTTTGGTTGCAGGTGGGAGCCTGGGTGAGGAGACCAGGAAGTAGTGGGTGGGGGTCCCAAAGGCCACTGGGCAAGTACAGGGGCTACCAGTGTCCCAGGGCCAAGGCACACGCTGGGTGGCATAAGGGCATCCAGGTCCCAGTGCCCAGAATGCTGGAGCATGGAGGGGCTTAGAGCAAGATCTGGCTGCAGAGGAGATGCATGGTCAGAGAGGGGTAGGGTCTTCCCCAGCCACACAGCATCTGAGGAGAGGCAGGGGAGCCAGACGGGGAGAGGTGGTCAAGAGTCTGAGTGTGCAGGACACGAAGACATGGAAGTGTCCTGCGCTGTGAGAGGTGGGAGGCTCCTTGTTTTGGAGGAGCCATGAGCCCGTGGATGAGCTCATTCGCACCTGCCTCTGGCATGTCCCAACAAGGCCCTTCCGACAGAATCCTGGCTGTTTTGCATCCCCGGGATGGCTGCCTGGAGCTCTGGAGCAGACCCCACCCCAGGATGGGTGCCCTGGGCTCCTGGCCAGTGGGTGCACTGTTGGTCAAGCTAAGTGCCAGAAGGCTGGACCCCCGACCAACAGAGTGTGGGCCACACTGCTCAGAGGACAACAGGAGGGCGGGACTGGTGATGTGGGGAGGGCACAAATAGCCAGACACGTGCACATGGGAGCTAATCTCTGAGGATGTAAAGGCATGAGTGACAGAATGCACTGGGGACAGTAGCTCACACCTGTGAGCACTTTGGGAGGCCAAGGTGGGCGGATCACCTGAGGTCAGGAGTTTGAGACCAGCCTGGCCAATATGGTGAAATTCTGTTTTTACTAAAAATACAAAAAGTACCTGGGCATGGTGGCACCCGCCTGTCATCCCCAGCTACTCAAGAGGCTAAGGCACGAGAATCGCTTGAACCTGGGAGGCGGAGGCTGCAGTGAGCCAAGATCACGCCACTGTACTCTAGCCTCGGCGACAGAACAAGACTCTGTCTCAAGAAAAAAAAAAAACAAAAACAGAATGATACAATGGACTTTGGGGACTCAGGGGCAAGGATGGGAGGGTGTGAGGGATAAAACACAATACACTGGGCCAGGTGTGGTGGCTCACGCCTGTAATCCCAGCACTTTGGGAGGCTGAGGCGGGCAGATCACCTGAGGTCAGGAGTTCCAGACCAGTCTGGCCAACATGGTGAAACCCTGTCTCTACTAAAAATACAAAAATTAGCTGGGTGTGGTGTCAGTCGCCTCTAATCTCAACTACTCAGGAGGCTGAGGCAGGGAATTGCTTGAACCCAGAGGTGGAGGTTGCAGTGAGCCGAGATCGCGCTACTGCAGTCCATCCTGGGCGACAGAGGAGACTGAGTCTCAAAAAAATAAAAGACTACACATGGGGTACAGTGTACACTGCTCAGGTGGGGGGTGCACCAAAATCTCAGAAGTCACCACCAAAGAACTTATTCATGTAACCAAACACCACCTGCTCCCCAGACACAGCCCCTGTCCTCTTGAAGGGCTCACACATGTGCAGAAGGGTGTTGGGGAGACCTCTTGGCCTGTAATGGCCATGTGTGCTGTGGGAAGAATCTGGCAAGAGTCCCTGGGGTATAGAGGGGAGAGGGCTCACTCCTTGGCTGAGGGTCTCAGGGAGGACTGCACGGAGAAGGGCGACACAGACAGAGTGTAGACAGATCAGAGTGAGTCATCCCGGTGAAAAGGGAGGGGACAAGCCGGGCTGGGAGGAAACAGGCCAGAGCTCAGTGGGGCCAGGGCCACGGAGGCTGAGGGATGTGGCAGCCCAAGCGTGGCCTGTCCTGAGTGCTGGCCCGGGGGCCCTCTGTGGGTCAGCAGGGAACCATCAGGAGGGCTAGGGGCCCAGTTTTGTGGGAGACAGAGCGATCTGTAGCATGGCTGGGGAGGGGAGGGCTGGCCCCTGCGGAGGGAATCTCAGTCGGGGCAGAGACGCATCCCAGATGAGGCTGCCGTCACACAGAAGTGGACAGGAGAGCAATGTGAGGGGTGTGTGGTTGGGGTACACTGGGCCCTTCTCCTTCCTCCTTCCTGGCATCCACCTTTCTCTCTTTTTTTTGAGAAGAAGCCTCACTCTGTCACCAGGTTGGAGTGCAGTGGTGTGATCTCGGCTCATGCAACCTCTACCTCCCAGGTTCAAGCGATTCTCCTGCCTCAACCACCCAAGTAGCTGGGACTACAGGTGTGCGCCACCATGCCCAGCTAATTTTTATATTTTTAGTAGGGACTGAGTTTCACCATGTCAGCCAGGATGGTCTCAATCTCTTGACCTCATGATCCTCACGCCTCGGTCTCCCAAAGTGCTAGGATTATAGGCGTGAGCCACCGCGCCTGGCCCTGCCATCCACCTTTCTCTAAGTGGCAAATTCCCGCGCGTCCCTCAAAGTCAGTACCGGCGCCACCCCATACCGGCCCACCAGCAGAAGCTCCCTCTCCCCGGAGCGGGGCCGCAGCCGCCTCCAGATGTCCATGGTGAAGAGCGTGCTGCTGCTGTTGAAGATGGAGGTCAGCGAGGACATCAGCGCGGCCAGCATCACTGCGATCATCAGCCCCCGCAGACCTGGGGTGGGACGGAGGAGGCGTGACCCTGCCCGGCCTTGCCAAGGCCCGGGAGCCCCTCCCACCTGGGCTCTTCTGCCTGAGGCTCCCCCACCATTCACATACCCCTGCAGGTGGAGGGCCAGGAGGGAGAAAGGCTGAGGAGGGTGGTGGTGATCAAGACCCCAAAAGAGGAGCCTGGGGAAGCCAAAGACAAACTGGGGGGCCTTTGGAGCTGGCTGCTGGCGCCTATGGCTCGCTGGCAACCCCAGGCCGAACGGTAATGACTCATATTGCTGAGGCTGCGATCAGGCCTCTCCTTTCTGCAGAGCCCGGTGTTGACAAAGCACTTTCACACCCATGCCTTCGTCCCGGGAAAGCATGATTAACCCGCCTGACAGATGAGGAAATGGAAGCTCGGAGAGGGGAAGAGATGGCCCGGGGACTCGCAGCAGGCCAGCGGCAGGGCTTTGGGGTGCGGTGGGGTGGGAGAGGAAGGCTAAGGCGGGACCTCTGCTTGGAGGTCACGCCCTGGGCCAGATGCACAGCTCACCCCAGCTTGCCGTGGCCCAGGCTCTGGAATTTTCCGCCAAGTCTCGTGCATGGCAGGACCCAGCAGGCATAGTGGATCCCTCTCTCCTTGGCCCTGTGGTTCTCCACAATGGGAGTGAGAGCTCCCCTAGGCAGTTCGGGGAGCATTGCTGTGCAAAGCCTTCTGGGAGTTGTGGGCTCAGGAAGGCCTGAGGGTGGGGAGCCCTAAAGAAGGTGGAAGGATGCTCGCCCACCCACTCAGTGCTGTGTGGCTTCAGACTGGTCACCTCCCCTCTCTGAGGATTAGTCCAAGTCTGTCTCTAAGGACTCTTGCAATTTTAAGTACCTCCTTGACCTCCATAAACTCTTGCCCATCTGTCCCAGGATAAGCCTGACATAGGCCCCCCTGCCCTGAAGGCACGGCCATTTATTGCCTGGCTGGGTTCTGAGTCTGGCCTTGGTTCTTCGTCTGATTTGCTGTGTGACTTCCAGGCGTCTCTGAGCCCTCTGTTCACTTGTCAGAAGCTGACTGGGATGGAGCCCAAAGGAAACTGAGTCGAAATACGGTTTTCCCCAAAACATTGCCCCACCCCCTTGTGTTGCTCATGGAGATGGATTAACTTGGGGCTTATTCCATCCGCTTCTCCTAGAGGAACTCAAAGCCTAGAGAGGGACTGCAGCCCAACAATGGCTCCATGTCAGCCCTGGGGGCTTTGCGAGTGCCCGTGCCCAGAACAGAAGAGGAGAGCGAAACCCCAAGGTGGAACCACAGCGTGGCCAAGCCTGCACCAGGCATTCTCCTTATGTCATTATGTTTAATCCCAGCAACAACGCTGAGGGTGGGTAGATGCCATTATCTCCAATTTACAAATGAGGACACCCAGGCTCCAAGCAGGGAAGTGGCATGCCCCAAATATCTTGGCCAGCGAGTGGCAGAGCCAAGATCTGATCCCCGATCTGTGCACTCACTTCCCTTGGGCCCGAGCTCTGCAGGAGGGAGGGAGGGAGGAGAAAAGAGCAGGGTGGGACTCACCTGGGGGACCAAAAGCTTTCAAGAAGAGAAGATTAGAGGGAGGGGGTCAGCGCGAGGGGACCAGGGAAAGCTCCAGCACCTGAGAATCTGTAGAGGAAAGGTTCAGGCTGCAAGGGCTCAGGAAACTTTCCTCTTTTTGCTTAGGGTCTGACCTCTCACACCCCTTGCTATGTTGCTTTTATTTGCATACCTCCTGTGATGGGAACTCATCACTTCACACTAGAATGGCAGGGATGCTACCACCTCGAGAAACACGGAAAAAGCAAAACTTGCCCCCTAGTTCTCCCTGTTGGCTTGCAGTGTCTCGGGGTGAGGGGGTGGTGCAGAGGATAGACACTGATGCCTGCAGATGTAGGGGACTGGGTGTTCCTGAGCACCTGACCCTAGCAGAGTAAGCAGTTTGCGTCTTGGGTTTGTGTCGCAGTCACTGTAGAACTTCAGACAAGTCACTGTCTCTCTCTGCCTCAGTTTCCCCATCTGTAAAATGGAGCCAACAACCCTATCTCATAGCACTTAATGAGAAACTATTAGTAAAGTGCCTGGCACCCAATGGGCATACAAGAAGAGAGAGTGGGTGGCCTTTCTCAAGAGATGGTACAGCACGAGGTAGGAGGCTGGGATGTGTGGGCAGATGCATCAGGTTAGAATCCAGCTTTGCAGCTTACTTGCCATGTGACCTGGGCTAGGTCGTTTAACCTCTCTGGGTTTCAGTTTCCCTGTCTTTAAAATGGGGATGATATAGACCAGGTGCAGTGGCTCACGCCTGTAATCCCAGCACTTTGGGAGGCAAAAGTGGGTGGATCACCTGAGGTCAGGAGTTTGAGACCAGCATTGTCAACATGGTGAAACCCTGTCTCTATGAAAAATACAAACATTAGCCGAGTGTGGTGGTGCACGCCTGTAATTCCAGCTACTTGGGAGGCTGAGGCAGGAGAATAGCTTGAATCCAGGAGGCAGAGGGTGCAGTGAGTGGGGGTCATACCATTGCACTCCAGCCTGGGCAACAAGAGCAAAACTCTATCTAAAAAAAAATGGGGATGATACTAAAAGCACTAGGGGTTCTCGAGAAAAGGAAGCCAGTGTATCACCTGGGAAGCTCTGGGGTTGGTGGCGGCACACAGTGGGTGTTCGAGTGTTTTCTATCATGAGTGCATCCAGTCTCCTCCATTAGGAGCAGAACAGCCCATCTGGATGTCACCCAGCATCACACTGGATCCAGAGTGGCCTCTGCAGCCCCCACTCTCATTGGGCCCCAGGTTCCACTCCACGCCCCCACCCGGACCCGCACCCACACCGCCTCACCGATGGGCATCAGTTCCATAACCAGCTTGGGGTAGGCGATGTTGGAGCAGCCGACCTCAGCCCCGCAGGCCCGCAGGCACTCCGATGGCACCACGCAGCCCACGTCATCTGCGCGAGAGACGGACACTTGGTGTCTCTCCCCATAGATATGGGCACCTGGGTGGGCAAGACAGGGCTGGGCCCAGACCTGCTCCATCAATACCTCTGACCTGTTACCACTTGGCCCTGGGCCTCAGTTCCCCAATCTGAGCCATGGGGAGGGCGTGGCCTCTGAAAACCCTTTTCCCACCTGCTGCTCTCCATCCTAACCTTCTCCCTGGTCCCACTTCCCCGGGCCGGGGACTCGCCTGCATTGGCCCTGCTGTGTGAGGTCTGCCATTAGAGTCTATCTGGGGCACGAGCCTCCCTTCCTCCACTTGCTTCCAGCCTTTCTCCCCAAAGGGGGAAATGGAGGCTAGAGAGGGGAGAGGCCAGCGGGATGGGCCCTGCCCCAGGCACTCCACCTGTCCCCTGGGCTTTGTGTTCACTCAGAGATAAGTTGACAAGTCGTGTCCAGGGGCAGCCAGCTTGAGCGTGCTGTCGCCCAGCTGCAACTCATGCAGCAGGACCATGGTGAAAGCCCACGTGCTGGCAAGGCCTGCCGCTCCAGCTTCCTGGCTGTAGGACAGGGGGTCAGAGCCCATCCATACCCCTGTCTCCGACTCTGGGGTCCAAGCTTTAGTCCAGGCTATTTCCTGCAGCAGAGAGCTGAGCCGACGCCCAGGACTCTCCAGTCACTCAGCCTTTCCACAGTCTGTAAGACCCTGGGTGACCCAGACCCTTAGCCCTCCCCGCACGTCTGTCCTCGCTCCCGCCTGAGGCCTCCCCAGCGACTGCCTCCTTCCCGCCTTCGGGTCTGTCCTCCGTGCCCCACTCTCCATCTGTCCCCTCTTCATCGCTTTCGCTCTTCCCTTGTCATCCCAGGCAGGACTTGGACATGTTTACTTGGTTCTTGCCTCTTCCCTGTGGCAGGTGAGTCCCGAGAGGATGAGATTTGCCTTGTGCCGTGCCCCCATTGCTGGGGTGCTGCACACGGCTCATCTGTTGAATGAATGAAGGGCTCATGAATTTCCCAGGTTCAGGCCAGATCCCGAATGAACCCTAAATCCACGCATCCCTTGGCCTCCTGCCCTGTGTGGGGGCAGAACCCCAACCTGCATCCACCGCCCTGAGGTATGGGGCTCCCTCACTGCTCTGCTCAGTGAGATTTTGCTGCTGTTGGCAGTCTTAAGGCAGACTTCAGCCTAGCGACATGTAGGGATGGAAAGAGTTGACCCACATTCACTTTTTCCTCCCATGAAAGACTTTCTAGGCCGGGCGCGGTGGCTCACGCCTGTAATCCCAGCTGTGGGAGGCCGAGGCGGGTGGATCACGAGGTCAAGAGATCGAGACCATCCTGGTCAACATGGTGAAACCCAGTCTCTACTAAAACTACAAAAAATTAGCTGGGCATGGTGGCGCGTGCCTGTAATCCCAGCTACTCAAGAGGCTGGGGCAGGAGAATTGCCTGAACCCAGGAGGCGGAGGTTGCGGTGAGCCAAGATCGCGCCATTGCACTCCAGCCTGGGTAACAAGAGTGAAACTCGGTCTCAAAAAAAAAAAAAAAAAAAAGACTTTCTAGAGCTGGGTGTGGTGGCCCATGCCTGTAATCCCAGCACTTTGGGAGGCCGAAGTGGGCAGATCATGAGGTCAGGAGATGGAGACCATCCTGGCCAACATGGTGAAACCCCGTCTCTACTAAACATACAAACTTAGCCAGGTGTGGTGGCTCATGCCTGTAATCCCAGCTACTCGGCAGGCTGAGGCAGGAGAATCCCTTGAATCTGGGAGGTGGAGGTTGCGGTGAGTCGAGATAGTGCCACTGCACTCCAGACTAGGGAACAAGAGTGAAACTCTATCTCAAAAAAAAAAAAAAGGACTTTATAGAAACCTTTGGCCCCTGCCCCCATGGGTTTTCAGCAGGGCCCAGAGTGCAGAGCTAAGCAGGAGACGATGATTACGGAAAGTCAAGACACAGCTGATGGGCAGCGCTGTGGCGGCCTGTGAGGGGCAGACAGAGGTGCCACACAGCCGCAGCGTGGCGGCCGGCATTGACATATCTGTGGCTTGGGGCTCCCTGTGCAGACTGCCCCCTCCAAAGCCCCTTTCTGATACGTCCCTTCTTAGATGTCCAGCCCATAGGGAAGGGCAGGTCTCAGACCCCTTCCTCCAGGCCAGCTGGGCTGGGGCAGTGTCCTCTACTCTGGCACCCTTGACCGGGTCCCAGTCTCCAGCCCAGCCGGTTTGAGTTACAGTCTTCCTGGACACCTAGTCCCAGTCATCCCCCTAGGCACTTTCCTGCCTCCTCCCATGAGCCCCTCCCCCCCAATGGCTTCTCCCCGCCCCCTCTGGGGCCCGCCCATGCTCCTCCCAGCCTCCTGTCCACCCCCTCTACACTTTGGAATCACAGCTCTCAGCAGATCTCTTATTTCTCAGGACCCTCCTCCCTGCCCCCACCTCTCAGTCTATGGCATACTGGGGACAAAAATTCCTTTCTATGGCATTCGAGGCCCTTGACAATTGGTCCCAGAACCTCCCAGCACCGCGCACCAGCCACCCTGACCTGCTTGTATTTTCTCACGCACACCCAGCCCTTGGAGGCCTCCATGCCTTTGCAGATGCAGTCCCTCCTCCCAGGGCACCACTGTCCTCTGACACCCACCTCCACCCTTGTTTACCTCCCTTTTCAGGGCCCATTGCAAAGGGCTTGTCCTCTAAGGCCGTCCCTGACTCTCCCAACCCCCCAGGCAGTAGCAGCTTCCTCCCAAGGGCTCCTAAGGCCAAAGATTGAATCACAGTTGTTTGTTTACATAGTCTACCTTCCCCACCAGGATGGAAGCTCCCCTAGGGCAGACACTGGGTTTGAATCATCTTGAAGTCTCAGGTATCGCCTGCCCCGTCCAGGGCAGGGCCCAGAAGAGACTTCCTGGGAACACAGGTTGAATGAATGAATAAGTGACTGCATGGTGAGGAGGAGGGAGGAAAGCCACAGGAGGAGAGGTGGAGCGGAGAAGTGATCCCAGAAAGAGCCATGAGGAGTTCAGGCGCTATTTGATCCAGCTGCCCTCCCCTGCCACCTCCACCCCCATTAGTTTTGCAGGACCAGAAAGGACATAACTTGCCTGGGGGACATAGTCAGACCCAAGACAGAGCTGGGGGCCCCATGGCAGAATTCTGGGAGCACTGGAGTCCAGGATTCAGAGGACAGGTGATAGGCCACTCCTGATGGGCTTTGAGCCTGGGGAGGCTGAATGGGACTCAGAGGACCCAGCCCTTCTGGGAGAGACAGGTGAGGCTTCGCAGCCATATACTGGCTCAGAAAGCCCGAGTCAGGAGATTCTTTGTGTTTCTTCAGCCCATTCCAGCTCTCCGCATGGGAAACCGCCCAGAGTACCACTGGTTTGATCAAGCGTCTGTGCTGAGCGGCAGGAAAGAACAACCTCTCCTTTATTAAAACAGTGGTGATGGTGTCACCAATGAAACACAGTCCCCCAGGTGCGGACTCCAGAGTAAGCAGCCCCAGGGAGGCGGGGCGGGGTGGGGGGGCGGAGCGTGAGAGTTGGGAGCTGGCAGGGGTCTATGGCTTTGCCAGCCTTCTGCAGGCCTGGGAGCTTCCCACTGGGCCCCATGTTTGCATCAGCACCCCGCCCCACCCCCTCCTGCCCCCCTTCCCCCCCCTCACCCCGGCTAGCCAAGGCCCACACCAGAACCTGACGGTTGCCCCTCATCGCCATCTCCCTCCCCATGGCCAATGCCCAGTCCTGCTTGGTTACTGGGGGAGCTGCAGCCCCTCCTTGCTGTGCCTTCTAATCTACTCCCCCTGCAAGCAAGCCAAGGGAACCTCTAAAAGCACCAGTCCGCCCACGATCCTCCCTGCTGTCACCACTCTGTGCCTCTCAGCCCCTGCGGGGGGATCATAGGCTCTAATCACAGCCTCCCAAGCCCCTTGCTACGGCCACCTTGCTCGGCCACCCTCTCCCTGACCAATTTCACCCAGACTTTGAGCACCCCCAGGCTCGCCTGGACACCTCCGGGTCTCTGTGTTTGCTGTTCCTTCTCCCTGGAACACACTTCCCACCTTCTACCCTTCCCTGGGTTTATCCCAGGGAACTCATACTCATTCCTCTCAATTCATATGGACACCTGGGCTCCTCAGGCTGTGGGGGCTGTATCCTCCACAGACCAATATCTCTATGACCTGTGACTGTCCCGCCTCCCACCCCCCCCCACGCCAGACTATGACTATGGGGCCTCAGGGAAAAGTCTGGGTCTCAACAGTGCTTAGCACAAGCAAACATGATGGCCTCTGCCAGTATCTGTTGAATGAGTGAATGATTCTCTCCCAAGGAGGTCACTGGACATAATCCCTTGAGGAGTAATCAAGTTGCTCTCCCGCAGCAACCCCAGTTTGTATCCGAGTCACGACACCAAAAAATTTTAAATTTTAAAAGGAAAAAAGTGATTTAAAATAAAAAAAATAAAAATAACTACAAAAACAAGTTCTCTCCACTCCCTAACCAGGCCTGGCCCATCCCCAGGGGCCAGTCCAGACACTGCCACTGCAGAAGGGAGCAGGAGAAAGGGTTTGAATCCAGTTCTCAGCCAGGCAGAGTTGCTTACGTCTATAATCCCAACACTTTGGGAGGCTGAGGCAGGAGGATTGTTTGAGGCCAGGAGTTCAAGACCAACCTTACCAATATAGGGAGACCCCATCTCGATTAAAAAACAAAGCCTGGGGCCGGGCGCGGTGGCTCACGCCTGTAATCCCAGCACTTTGGGAGGCCGAGGCGGGTGGATCACGAGGTCAGGAGATCAAGACCATCCTGGTCAACATGGTGAAACCCCGTCTCTACTAAAACTACAAAAAATTAGCTGGGCATGGTGGCGCGTGCCTGTAGTCCCAGCTACTCAGGAGGCTG